AGGGTTCGCATCGAAGAATCGAATGATTTCGAGTTCCAGAAATCAACGGATTTCGAACTTTTCGACTGAAATTATACCGGACCACGATTTCCGACTCTAGTGTGCATCTTATGGACAACTTGAGCAAAACGGCACTAGTTTAACTTTGGAGCATGTTTTACATTATGATAATTAATAAAATTCTTAAGTATTATAGCTCATAATAAGCCAGGAGATTCACAATCAATCAGTGTTACAATCTATTCTAGCATTTTTGAGTTCTGTAGTTTGTAGAGGTAGTTGTTGAACAATGTTTATGGTGCACACTAAAGTGCTCATGAATTCCCCGGCTCGCCACGCGCACCCGTTCGTCACAACTGAGAATGTGCGAACCATAGAACTAAATAGGAACCTTCTATTTAGAGTTCTATGTCGCGAAAACGTCTCGTTCCGTTCCGTCAGGGTGGCACGGCGTAGAAGCAGAAGCGGAAAACTTCAGTGCTGCCTCAGCAGCCAATCGTCCAGGACAAATCTGCATGCAGCGCCCCCTCAGCACTCAGGCATATAGAATTGAGCCAGCTGACGTTGGGCCTTCGTAAGTGCTGAGAACTGGAGACCACAGCGGCTCGCCGCTTCGAGACGGAATTCAGGCGGTAGAAGCAGATGCTGCGGTTGAAGTTGTTGCACAGCGTAGACTTCAATATGTTATCGCCAGCGAATGGCCCGACATTTCTTTTTGTGTAGAGGGCGTTCAGCGAACGCCAAAGACTGGGCAAGTACTCCCAAATACAACTCCAATCCTGAGAGTTTGCTGCCTACAAAAGGGGATTTCAGAAGTGCAATTACAAAGCTAAGATATTCTATGTATATCTTGGCTATTTCAACTGCATCAACTCTTATGATAAACTAACCTCTGACATTAGAAATTTGAGAACTGAAGACTTAAAGTAGTGCGATTTCGAAACAGACTTCCTGGACCGTCTTGTATTTTTGCCGACATTATTAAAATACTTAAATTACCATTAAATACGTATTTCTCGCGAACGCAAGTATAACACTGCAGAGGCTACGTGTTTTAGACACTCGTACATTGTTACTTTTCACGGAATATGAATCTTTCTGAAATTGTGTCAATTGAATTTCTGTGTTGACATCTTGGTGCGCATTCACGCTATGATGCAAGGTCTGTTTCTCACGAGTCCCTGTCCTACACTTTTAATTAGTAAACTCGCATTAAGTAGTAGAGATGCCCCGCTTAACCAGTCCTCGATCTACTTATTATATCACTCAATGGAGATGCAGTTTTTTTCTGATGGCTGCCAATTTCAAAGTAATTGTCATGATGAAAAAGATTGGATCGTATTGTATTTATAATATATACATAATAGCAGCAACCCATGATATTTTTGTAGTGGAGTCGTCAGTAACGATGTTCGCTATTGGCAGACTCATATTTTTGCAATATTTTCCCAGATTGTGGCCAATTGTAAAGAGAGTAGATCCTTTCAAGCCCACATCATTTTTTATTGACCTGCACGTACACACATGACTTTCTCAGTAACTGGTATGAAGTGTGATTGGCAAAACCATTTTAGCGCCATCATACCTGCTCCATTGCTCGTCGCTGATCGAGCAACAGAAGAGAAATCCAAGCAATGATGGTTAGTGTCATCGCTCCTCAGCAGGCAACCGACTTCACAAAGAGAACGGATGTCCATCTCCCTCCACCGTCGTTGCCGTATAACTTTAATGCGACATACCAGCAATCCAAATTTTAATTGGTCCACTATCATGGCTAGGGAGGTTAGATAATCGCTATTTAATTTAACTGTGCTCTTGCCTAGGATGGCGCCGAATGCAAAATGTGTGTGACATCTGCTAAGTGGTAATTGTGAGGGTGCCGATTACTATAATGAATTTTTTCTCTATCTGCCACTTGTTAATTATTTATATGTACGACATGGGCTATAATGCATAAAAAAATTGTAAAAACCACAAAATATATTGCTTTACATAATAAGATGAGTTGCCGTGTGCTGAACGAAAAAAACAGTTGCTCTGCTTAAAAAGATTTAAAAGTGCGATTGACAAAAATTTCTTCTTTTTATCTCAATTTAACGTATGATATCTTGGGGGTAATCATGGGTTTACAAAATCATTCCCTTGTGCATTTATTATTAATCAGTATAGACGTAACGATATATTTGTGGGACAAAGTCATTTTATTAGCATAAAAAAAGAAACCAACATTTAGTCTAAAATCGAGCCAACATTTAGTCTAAAATCAACCAAAATGGTAAACTTTCTGCTACTTTTGACTTCAATAGCCGCACAATACATATATCGCATAAGAAAAAGAAAAAAAGCTTCGGCAAGCACTGCATATTCTTGGCTACACAAATAACAATCTTCTCAGCCAAAGAAGCCTCCACATTAAAAGTATAATAAAACAAAAATTAAAAAATGGAAGATGGAAATAATTATATATTGTGCATGTTCTCGCGGCCAAGCCGATGTGAGCATGGAACGCCTCGATCGCTCCCTCCCTCTCTCCCGCCCCCTCCCTCCCTCCCTCTCTTACTCATTACCACCTGACCCCCTCCCTCCCTCGCCTCTCACTCCAGCTCACCACTCGATTGCCTCCCTCCTCCCTCCCTCCCCCCTCCTTCCCTCCCTCCCCCCTCCCTCCCTGCCTTCCCTCCCTCCCTCCCTCCCTCCTCTCCTCCCTCCTTCCCTCGCCTCCCCTCCCTCCCTCCCTCCCTCTCTCACTTACTCACTTACCACCTTCGACCCCCTCCCTCCCTCGCCTCACACCTTCTCCTTCTCCTCGCCACCTCTTCCCCCTCCTCCTTCCACCACCTTCTCCCCCTCCTCTACCTCCTCCCCTCTTCCCTTCTCTTTCCCACCACCTCTTCCCCCTTCTTCTTCACCACTTCTCCCTCCTCCTTCTACTTCCTCCAACGATTCTCCCACTCTCCTCTACCTCTTCCACTTCTCCCACAAAAAATCCTCTATATCCTCTCTTCTACCTTCTCCCAATGTTCTCTACCTCCTTCTCTCCCCTATCTCCGCACTCCTTCGTCCGTCCTCACCACGATTCCCCCCTCATCTACTCCTCCCTCTTACCTTCTCTCCCTCTTACTGTTCACCACGTTCTCCCCTCTTATACTCCTCCGTACTTCTTCCACCGATCCTCTACCTACTCCCTCTTCTATCCTTCTCCTCTCCTGTCTACGCTCCCCCATCCTCTCCCACTATCCCTCGACTCCTCCTCTTGCTACTTTCTCCCTTTCGACTACCTCTTCTCTCCCCTTATTCTTCAACTCCCCGGGTTTGTTGCTTACCTAGTATGTGCAGTGTGTGTGTGCCAGTGCGTTCGGCTGCGCGTGGGCCGCAGCGTGCGCGCCTGTCGTGCGTGCGTGTGTGTGTGTGCGCACATGTGTGTGCCCTGTGCGGTGCGGCGGTGCGTGCGTGCGTGCGTTGTGTGTGTGGGTATGCGTGCGTGCGTGCGTGCGTGCGTGTGTGTGTTGTGTGTGTGTGTGTACGCTGTGTGTGTGTAGGGTGTGTGTGGTGTGAGTGTTGTGTATGCGTGCGTGTGTGTGTGTGTGTGGTGGATGTGTGTATGCGTGCGTTGTGTGCTGCGTCGGCGCGCGCGCGTGTGTGTGGTGCGGTGTATGTGGTGTGTGTTGTAGTGTGTGTGTGTACGTGCCGTGCTGTTGTTTACCCCCGTGCCATACTCTGTTGTCGCTGGTGACTAGTGTTACGTCGGCATGCGATGTCTAGCGGTCGGTCGATCCGGTCGCGTCCTGACGTCGGTACGGCTGTTGGACGTCGTCCTTCCGTGTTTAACGCTTTTTCTCGCTCGCACGTCTGGAGCTGGTTTTATTCTCTTCGCTCTCTCCTCTCTCTCTCTCTCTCTCTCTCTCTCGCTCTCTCTCTCTCTCTCGCCACGTCTGAGCTGGTTTTACTTCTCTTCGTCTCTCTCTCTCTCTCTCTCTCTCTCTCTCTCTATATAATATATATATATATAGGGAAGGTATGAAGAAGAGGCCTGGAACAGCCTCTACGGGGACACAGCGTCGACTGTGCTACCCCACGGTCCGGATTTAGGCTTGCCGTTTGTGGTTCGCCATTATAATGTTTTATAAAAACAAAAAAATTCTTGTAAAAAACAGTTTTGTTAAGAATTGCTGCACTCAAGTTAGCAATGAACCGACTAGTTTCGACTTGTGGTAGTCTTCGTCAGGCTTCCTGTCTAACTATTTACAGCTGAAAAAAACCTTGTTCTTGCAGCGTGTTCTCGCTTCCTTATATACCCTAACCCTGTCTTGGAAGGGGGCGCCAATAGCGGGCGCCCCGTACAGCAGAAAGGGGGCGCCCAGGGTGTTAGGGGGGCGCCGGAAAAGGGGGCACCAGGTGTTAGGGGGCGCGCGCCGAAAGGCGAGGCGCAGGGGCGCCAAAAGCGGGCGCCCAGGTGATTAGGGCGGAGACGCCACGAAAGGGACGAACATCGTGACGACGCACGCATACGGCTATAGCATGCGGGCGACCCAAATTCAGAGGGGCGCGGCGCATCTGGTTTTGTGATCTGTACTCGTCTCGCGAACTGCATTGTCCGTACTGGAATCGTCTGTTGTGATTACGGGCTCAGTTGGCATTCTATGACGTAGCCGGCAGCAAGCGGAGCGGAAGACAGAGCGCCTGCGGATGCTGCGAGTCGGCCAGACGGCGGGCGACGAGGATACGATCCACGCTGAACGCGGCTGAGACGCACTCGCTAGAGGGTCCGGTACACTGAAGATATAAGAATTACGGACGATCAGAGATCTAGCACATCCGCACAACAATAGTGACCGAGGCACTCCCACCATACTTTAAGACAAACAG